ATAATAATTCATAATAAGTTAGTAGAATATGAATCACGCTATGACAATACCCTTTGAGTAAGGTGTGACGTGACGTTAATTTTGTTTTTTCATCTCCATTGCTACTAGTATTTATTTATTTTACGTTCTTCTGTTGTTGTTTTTTGACAGCATGTGCAACGTAACAACACAAAACGATCAAGACGTTAATGATTATTTTTCAAGTGTGTTTTGCGGGAATGTTATACTTTTCAATCCAAACATACTTTGTGTATACAATCTGAGTGACTAGTCAGGATGTGGCAGCTGGTCTTTGCTTCACCCCATGGAGCACACACCGAGTATACTAGTATGGCGAGAATCAGTTATATATTTACATTCCTTTACTATATACTCGTGATTGTGTGATGTAAACAACGGCACATCACTTGATAGAGAAATCTCGTCGTCATACAAACGTTTTGGCGATTACACCAATAGCACAGCCTTTTATTTATTGACACGACACAGGAGGGGGCAACTAAAAATTACAAAACAATAAAAAATGATCACATGTTACAAAGACCCATTTATAAATTACAAGGTTCACTGGCAATTAAACATAACACATTATAAATATACTATACCATGAGGTGTTGCTGTCATATTTTAAGGCAATGTTTATTAAAATGTTTATTGTATTGTATTGATCTGTGTACTACGAATTGTAGGTATCAATTTACTATTAACTGAAATTATTTATGTGTTTGGTCATATCTTCAACTAGAGACTTACTTGTTGGTCGTACTTTGGACATTGTTAGATTTGCTGTTTATTTGTTTATTCCCTGCTGCTTCTTTGAGTAGTAAGTTGTCTGTTGTTAATACACGGTTGTAATATTTAATTAGTTGTTTTTTGTTATTAATGCGACCAGGAGATTTCTACTCAAAAGATTTGCTCCGACTTGAATTGAAATATAGACCCTCTGAAATGCTATTTCCTGCATATTTAGGGGAAAATTTTGCTGACACAAAGGATTTGAACTTGATTTTGGAGGGACGACGTCCCAAACACTTTCTACTCCTCCATTTTAACACTATTGTAGATATATTTTACTGTAATTACATATTGAATGTCAACCCATATTTTAATAACTGTTTGAATAATACGTGATTTGAGACAATCATCTTTTAATCTTTTATTTAGTACATTTGTAAATAGCTTGCCAAGACAACTTGACATAGCGACGATTCCCCTATAATTTGCTTGGTTACATTTGGAACTTAATTTTTGTATTTGAACTATTATACCAAATACTCCAAGACTTCGGGGGAGCTATTCGACTCATTAACACTGTTAAATAATTTAAGAATATAATTATAATACATATAGTTTTATATATTTCGTTGTACATTTCATCTTCTATTGATGCTTTATTATTGTTCAGAGTTTTTATTGCATTTATGATTATACTTTTTGTTATTTGTTTGCCCAAATCATCATTATTGCAAACAATATTTTCTTCATCCAGATTCAAATTTTACTATACGAAACATAACCTCGTAGTGTACTCGCAGCAATGTTTTTTTCATTCTTGAATTTCGGTTCAGTGGAGAAAACTGACGTACAAAAAGAACTGGGCCAACATAAGTCTCAAGTATGAAACTCGGCAACGACTACGGATATCACATTGGTACTGAAAATGTTGATTCTGGAGTAGACTTCAACTATACGATGTCGTCGTGTTGTTGGCGAACCGCAGCGTGCGTTTCCGGTATTCATTTCCTGACCTCATCATTACAGGGTCACCAATTATGCCTTTCATAGTGACATCAAGCGTGTCCAACACCCACAATGTTTTCTCTCACAAAATGTGTATCGACCAATCACAGATTACTGTCCTATCCATTCAATATGTAAACTAATATTATGAAATCATACTATGTGAATGCCTCATACAATGTACACTAAGCTATTTTAAGGGAGACGTACATGGCGTTTACATTTACGTCATTGTCTATATTTATACATTTTTAGTATATTTAGTTAAACCTATCGGAATATCAATCATATGACACCAAAAGGTTAATGAGGCCTTAAAACAAACTATAATTGGCGCACGGATAGACAATAGACAATCAGTTGTTGATAAATGCAAGAGATTGTCTGAGCCCACCATTACAAATACTCCATATTTTCTGATGTGATACAGAAGGCATTTTGAGGGGGGTAGAATCAACGTTGTTTGGAATTGAATGCAATGTAGTCGAGGTAAATTAATCGGGGTTCGCCTTGAAGCTGCATTCTCCATTATAATATGCATGACTGGGTTATGTACGCCGAGTAAATGATAAAAAGGCTAAAACAACAAACACATACACGTCATATTGTATTTAATTAAAGCTTGTCAATAATAATTGCCGTCCCTGGCCAATACAGTGTTCAGGTCTAATTCCAGGAGAAGCCATTTTATCCTGTACATCGAAACGTTATTATTGCTTTATATTTCGCATGACGAGTAATATTTCTTGAAATGATCAGATACAAAAAAATAGCGGTGAGTAGCATTTCCCGCGAACTTGAAACCGATCCACGATTAAATTTCCTATTTAATATTTATAATTAAAAGGTTGTAAGTTCTTTAAAACGATGTATACATACAGCGCTATATTGAACGCTCAAATAAAGTTGTCTTACAAACTTAAGATCTGGCTGGATACATATATACGTGAAAAGATCATTCCACTACTTGAATTGGTCAACTATTTTTTTTCTTTATCTGATTTGGTGACAATGTTGCTCAATGAATGTTGCTCATCACCGTGACTTATCCAAACCCGACGTGATGGTGTCAACATATACACAGATAATCACAGCGGACGTAATGGTCACAAAGGGCTGCACACAGCACTTCACAATGAACATTTTCAAACTTAGTAAAACGTTTCTTTTCACTTGTCAAGTGAATTGGCAATGGTTGTATTTGTGTTGAGATACTTATATGACTAGTTCTAAAGGAGGCACTTGATAGTAAAGTTAGAAACCGATATGTTCAATCGAAAATGCCTAGGGCTCCAAATTATGCCACGCGGAAAATGCCTGGGGCTCCAAATTACGCCTCGCGGAAAATGTCTGTGGCTCCAAATTATGCCACGCCAGTCGGGCGAATGAACAAGGGACTTGTGAAAATAGATGTATCTTTTTAATTGGCATTAATTAAGTGAATTAATGTAATTAGTCAATATCACAAGCTAATAATCATACTGTGTGACGTCACAACTGATTGGCGTTTCAAGAGAAGTAATTTAAGTTGAAATGATAACTTGACGTAATACGAACACCTCGCTGGCAGTTTGATGTTAGATGTAAAATAATACAAGCCGTGTCAAGAGTATAGCTACTAATTTGTCAGATTTGACTCAGCGAGTGGGTAAATCTATAATAACTGTGTTAAATTAATTATGAGTGCACTTATTTAAGCAAATCCGTGGCAAATCAAGGGTTGGGTGTTTTGTGTCTTACGGTTCCTGGGCAAGGAGGCTACAAGAAGAATATTACACTATATATATATACGATGTATAACTAGTGGAAAGCTTGTATGTATGTGATCTGTGTTAAGAAAAGTTCAGATTATATTTTAATCTGTCTTCAGTATTCGAGTGGTCTCGCCTATTCTACTCCAAGACAGTTATCTCCCCAATGACGAGGCGATTTAAATCCATTTACGAAAATATTATAAATATTTTAAGCTATTAACGCGATGTAAAATAGTCAACACATTAATACAAAGTTATATTTTGAAAACAAAACTACATGTTCTAAGGATCCAGATACACATAATTTTTGTCATGATCAAAAATTGTATTTTGTATACTTTGCTGTATTGTCGTCACTATATTTATGAACTTCAAACCCAAATACAAATATGACTGTGGTTTTACATAGACGACGTGGTTTTACATAGACGACGTGGTTTTATATAGGTGACGTGGTTTTACATAGATGAAGTGGTATATATGTCATCGTAAAAGGCTCAACATGGTGATTCAATTACTAAAAAATGACACAATTCCTGTAAAGTGTGCTAATTGGCATATACTTGCATGCCACAGTCATTGGGACAACACTTCATGTATTGATGTAATTTCAGTAGATCAAGATTAAACTCCTCAAATGCAAATAGAAATAGAAATAGACTGCTATTATTATATTTAATTATTTAATATAAATGTTACACAGTTCGTCTTCAAAGTGTGTCATGCTACAAGCATACATCAATTACTGAATTAATGGGGTTTGTCATACATGTTCTGTCCGGCACACTCCATGACTGTACAGTGAACACGTTGTCATCAAACCAGCGAGTAATACCTAACTAGAATATGCGCAATTATACGTCCTGAAAGTTTAAATAAACGATTTAAAACGTTTCTACAGTACATTCAATTGAAATATTCGCTAAAGCATGGTTTTTAACAAAACTTAGAGTGCAAGACGCTGTCATGTGACAGACACGTAGTATTCATTGAAAACATATTTCGTAAGTGAAAATAACACACACATAGAATAATTGTTGTACGTTTCATCTTGCTCATGTTGCATGTAAGTAGAAAACATCTAATAATTTGTCTATAGGAATGTTGTTCTGAATATGTTCACCGATACACGACACATTAATGACTGTATAAGCAGACGTTAACGGCTGGCTAGATGATCGGTCCTTTCTATTACGAAATTCGTTATTGGTATTACTGTTCATGTGAGAGTGTGCGATTTTACCAGTAGGTCATATCATCGCGTTGTTTTTGGTATATCTATGAACATGTCCAAACACGAATCGCCGCTATCATCGCTCTCTTCTTGGCTTTTATCTGACCAGTCTTCCACCACACGTGCACATTCCCGAAAAGAAGAACTGCCGTCGTTGCCGTTCACCATATCTGCAAGAGCTGAAATGTAACTGATTGCCAGGCGCAGTGTTTTTATCTTGGACAGTCGGCGATCACAAAGTTGTCTAGGAATGACTTTTCTCAACTCGTCTAATGCTGTGTTAAGGCGATGCATCCTCATTCGTTCTTGCGAGTTAGCTTTCAGTCGTCGGATCAGTGAGTCAGGGGAGTTCAAGTCCTTTCGTCGGGGTATTTTAGGTTTTCGTCGACGTCTGCAAGACAACTTTATCGACGATTTACTCAATTGGAAGCTGTCCTCTTTACACGCAGATAAACAAGGTCTTCTGCACTGATTGAGTCCACTGAATGAACAGCTCGAGGAAAGAGCATAACTGTCACCATTGCAGTCCGCGGCAAGAGACCGAACGCTGAATTTGTTCTCCATTCTGTTTCCTGGCACTATGGGTAACAGTGACACGACCGCTAGATGGGGTCGGTTGGCACGGAAGTATGCCAGCCAACAGAGCTCCGTTGATCCGCTGAGAAAGTTCTGATCTTTAAATGACTTCAATAACGCAAGTCCAGTTCAAGTCCACTAGACCCCCTGTGAAGTGGTTGGAATGACAAATGGCAACAAACTCACCATGAATCGATTATGAATCCATCTATCTGTGATTGGATCAGATACTGATGGGTATCAGCAAATCATTTCTCCTACATCAATCCCATAGTTCAGTTCGGTTTCGACTATCTCCATGAGAAGTTGTAGGAATGTCGTTGTTTATATTATATGTTCACCTAAATGAATTACATTGTTTATTTACTTTGTCAACATTGAAACCGCAACTGACAACATTGTAAGTGGACCGCGCCAACGATACATATATGCATCATGTCCCAAGTACAAAGATGTGGGCAAAGATATTGATGCAATGGAAAAACGGAACTCATGTCTGGAAAGTTATCACATACAAGTTATCATGTTACTTGAACGCTTTGATGGCCTTTTAATGCCCGCTGGGTTAGACCAACATGCAATTACTGCTCCATGAATCGACACGAACTGTAATGTATTAATGTGGCTGGGGAATGATGTTTTCCCGGTCGTTCAGATATATGGGTTAATTACTGATGGAATCAAACATCTCACGTCATGTATTGCCAATATCGATAACATTGTGTCAAATCAAATATATTTACTACTAGTAGTAGTAGGGGTATTGAGCCTAACTAGTACACTGTCTATTACACTTATTGGCACCATTTCACGATATAATAGAAAGCCAAGTGAATTGCCATCAAGTAACACATGATTAGATTTGTTGGATATTTAGCTATTTCACACAATCTTATCTCTATATCATATGAGATGATGTTTTATTTATCGAACATTAATGAAACATTTCATCAGACATTCGCAATTCTTACAATCAAGCAATCTGTGTGTAATCATGATTGTAATCATAATCAGATTTACCTCTTGAACGTCTCTGACAAAATTCCCATTTGAAATATTTTCGGTTTTTCGAAATATTGTCTTGTTCATCCAGGCGAAGTTCTCAATATTATGTCCGTAACATAACATGATAACGTTTATAACCTCGCTTTAAAAGGATGACTTACTATCTGCGTTCAGGTAATGTTTGGACGTTTTCAATTCTGGCCCCGAGTTTAGAAGAGAATAATTCCTGCACATAAAATATAGACGATAGTCAATATTGATTTGTTAGACCATTCTCATAACAATCCTGGGGTAATACACTGACTACATATTTAAAGACCACGAACAATACTTGGCAGAAGACATACATTTAATTTAATTAAAGATATATATCGTTACTCATAGACTCAATCGCTCATCTGCTATCAGTCATAATTATCAAACACATGTGCTGTAACCTAGTGGCAATGTCAGTACAGGCGGTGTTGCATATATGTTCCATTTCATGACGTGTTATGTGCATATCACCACTCTCACTCTGATTGTGGTAAACTTAAAGCTAAAATAAAACACTCGTATTCTATACATATGCAACTACGGCTAGGTTTGATCATAAACGTCAACGGAACTATGCGTAATATTCATCAAAATATGAATTTCTATAATAGCTAATAACAATAATTGCTTATATGACATAGTATATGAAGACGCTACGCTACATAAGCACATCGCCAAACATGTCAGTCAACTTGAAGTTCGGTCTGTAAACAGTCATGTTTATTGTAGAACGTTTCTGTTTCTGACCTTTGACCGCTGCGAGGCATATATAATAACTACATGCATGATGCCCCACCCTCACACACACACAATATCCAATATTGAGATGATATCGCGGTGAACTCGTTGAGGTAATGCTTTAAACAAAACAGATTGCCTTACTTTAAGGGGAACCGCTCAATCCCATGGATTGCACCAAAGAATCATGGGACACTATTGTTTATGTTGTTTACAAAGTTAATCTATCTTTTGTTATCCATTGTAATTTTAATCCAGAAATTAACTTGTCTTTAACATGCCCGGCACGTTTGGTTGCCAGTAATCCTGTTTGTATAAGAATTAAGATAACAACATTAAATGCAACGTCCAGCATTGTAATACCACGAACAAACAAACAAGCCATTCACTGCTCGCATCATAGAGATCATGATAGAGAAAATAACAAAACATAAAACGAAGTGGAGCATCACCTTGCCTGTACGTGTAAACAATGTTGGATTCTTTGGTCGAAAGACAAATGATGAGAATGTTAGAATTGTGCACTGATCAATGGGTCAATGATGAATGACTTGTTTGCTTGTTCATGCTTGTTATTGCAGCGCCCTCAACACTTGCTGGTATTGTACGCATTCAGTGCACATCCGCTACATGAGGTATATTTTGATTTTATTACGATTTCCCTTTTTGTGTTGAACTCGGTGATGAAGCTAGGGTGATTTTAATGATTTTTTTTTCTTTACAGATTTGTGTTTTTTCTTCTATTATTGTCAGCCAAATAATATATGCTGTGACAAAAAAGAGATGGTAATAATTTTAAGTTTATAAACTCGGAAAAAAATAATATAATCATGTACCATTTATCTTGTGTGACATTTATTTTTGTTTCGGACGAAAAATGAGTGCGTAGACAAGTAACATTTTAAACAGTCGATGCCTGTATGAAGAGGAGTGTAAGAGGATGTTTAAAAACAATTATACAACTCCAGATGAAACGAAAAGAAATACTTATATAGACCAACTGTCCACAGTTACCACCTTTTGACCACCTATCTAATGTGACCAGTGACTATCGCCCTCTTACACAAGTTTGGTCAACTGAAACGAACCTGAGTTGGAGTTTACATGGCAAATGATGGAAGATGATTTCTTGTTTAGTCGTTTATACTTGGGTTCTACAATAATTAGGTTAAATGTATTTAAGACAAACAAACATATTCTTGTCATATATTTATTCACAAATGACAATTTCCAGTTTCCCAAGTACTTTGGATGCTCATTAAATATTCTAAGCGTGTTTGAAAGTAATCATTAGTACTAGCGCCACTAACAGCTCATGCTAAAAAAGTTGTCAGACGAGTGTTGGTGGCGCTATTTTCACCGTGTTGGACTTATCTAATCTGTCAATAACAGCTGACCTGACCTGTTTGATAAATGAGATTCTCTGAATGTTGTGGATATTCAATCGTATTATATCTAGAAAAGTCTCTGCAAAGTTCGTTCATGGATTAATCGCCAATTCGGCCAACGTACAGCAAGCGGTGACGAAAACAACCAACAGAATTTGTATGAAGGTCACTTCGTCTAGGTCACTAGCCGCCATCGCTGACGCAATGGCCAAGCTTGAGAAACTGAATTTTGACAACCTGGCTCTCCGATCGCTCCCACTCGATACGAATCGTGAGAACACTGTGCGCCAGGTTACAGGGGCATGCTTTTCTCGTGTCAAGCCAACGCCGGTTGTGAACCCAACACTGGTTGCCTGTTCAACCTCTGCTATGGCTTTGCTGGACCTACCGGAATCAGAAACCACTCGCCCTGTGTTTAGTGAATATTTCTCCGGAAATAAGCTTCTCCATGGTTCTGAGACCGCCAGTCATTGTTACTGTGGGCACCAGTTTGGGCACTTTTCTGGACAACTTGGTGATGGGGCAGCAATGTAAGTGTATGTGTATTGTTTGTTGTTGTTGCTATATTATCGGTATATATCGGTATGTGACATCATATACTCCTCTATAACAAGAGCATTATATGATCTGTATATTTGAATAACAATAGCATTATCTTACGTATCATTTTAGAATAGCATTTTACTATGTTCTATTCAAAATGAATAATGTCAATGAAGTTATTATTTACGGATCATGAAGTGTTCGGTCGTCAGTGGACGACTTTTTCTCCAAAACCATTGGACCTTTTTGTTCTGATTTTTGGTATGAAGATTCCTTATTGGTTGAAGATGGTAATTTGTTCAAGAGAAGTGGGTCAATCAACAAATATGGAAATTGGATCAAAAAAGCTGAAAACTGATATTTTCATCAATTACTAACAGATTCTGTTGTAAATTGGCCCAGGGCGATTTTTCTGCAGTTTTTTGTTTTACATATTTTGGCATATTTTTTTGGACATTTCAATCTTTCCTGACACCTAAAATAGTCTTAATTTCAGTTTTTACCGTAGTCATTGACACCTATTCAAGAGTATAATGTTTACTGTCTAGCATAAACTGGTAAGCTTTGTTTTGTCAATGAGCTGTTATCACTGTAAGCAATGTTAAAATATTCTTCAAATGCTCAGTTTGTCTTTTGAAAACAACAAATTTTTTGATTTAAAAAAAATCGCACCATTTCCCCATTAAAATCCAAGCCAAAAGATCATACTACAACATCAGCAAATCTCAATAACATTAACATATTAATTAAAAATGAGCTAAATGAGCACATTGGCATCATCCATCCTTTTAATTGGTTAATTAGCGAGTTGACCTATGAAGTCAAAGAACACCGTCCTAAGTCAACTCATGCAAAACATAGCTGATATCCTACAGTATCGGGCGGAATCATTCGCTTACGATGAAACTAAGTTGAATTTTCTTTGCATTTCATAACAATTTAACAAATTCCTTTGTACGTTACTAGTAGTTTTGTGGTAAAAAATTAAGTTGGCTTCATAGTAATTGGTCCTTTCATAGTTGTTGAAAATTAAAGTTTTATGTTCCTTTAACACCTAGTGCTATTCTGGGAATACCATCCTTAGAAGCTGTTAATTAGCCCTTATGATGTGTGCAGTTGTTCTGGTAGGAGTTCCAAAATAAGACCCATATGAATATCCAAACATATTTTAGTATAAGGTAGTAATTATAATCACTACTGTGTATATAATCAACAATTGTGAAACGCAGCATGACCGGATTGTGCTACCGTGATAATTTGCTACTAAGCACTGCAGTTGTGTTCATTTTTATTTGAAACTTCTATTAGAATATACTTTCATTACCAATAAAATTAAAAACAATGTATTTGGCGTATCAGGTTCGTTAATTTTGTTTGCCGATTTTTTTTGGGAGTAAGATGACACTGGGTGACATTGTAATGAAATTTTAGGCAGTCTACTGTTTAATTCAGGAAGAAAAAAATATATCATTATATTAGATTAGATTCTGCAGTGGTTTCTTTCGTGTTGGGTGATCCAACTGCCAGTGTTGAAAGTCGGCATAGGTGGATTTTTCTATGAAAATAGTCCAAAAAAATATTTGATGAACATTTTGTGAAATATTGAAGCCCAAATAAGGGTGAGATTGTCCTGGGCGATTTTTTGGAAGGGCCAATTTAGGGCAGAATCCAGTATTTAGCTTTTAGACCTTGGCTGGTCCTCTGTGTTGCCTGTTGATGTGGTAACATTTTCTACAAATTTGTATTTTAAAGGGGAACTAAATAGAGCCTATTTTGGTGTTTGTATTTATCAAGTTATGTATATTGATTATAAATTTGAAAAAAAAATGATTATCTTCAAAGTTATGATGATTTAAATATGAGAAACAATAAACCTGCGAAGGACTTCCGTTTGCGCCATCTTGCCATAAAAAACGCCCTCATGAGGTATAAACAGGTAAGGTAACAAAGCATGATGACGAAATAGTATCTGATTAAATATAAGCAACTTAGGGAGCCATAGTTGGCTGGACTGGTGAATTGACTTTTACATTAATTTTATTTACAAGCGTATCAACATACAAACATTGTGGATGTGCGATTGATCGAGACAGGCATTTTGTTTTGTTTTTTGTCTAACTGTCTAATAAATGCTGTTTCCAGTACTGCACTGTGCGGCGTGCAAATTATTCAAAGTATGGATGCTGGAGTATGCAATCTTGAGTTCATAGGGCGGGGGTGGAAACATTTTCGTCCATGTATTCACAGGGCTGCACTGGCAAATCATGGGACAAGTGTCACAGGAACACCAAGCAGATTGTTCACAGATTTCCGTGTAATTTGAAATAAAACTATCATCCGAACAAGGGGCATTGTCGACGATATACTCTCATCACTCACACTGGACTGATCTGAATCTTCACTGTATACCGTACTTCTCTGATCATAAGCCCGGAGGCATGAACACGTAAGGGAAAAGTAAGGGATGAGCTTGTACTCAAGGATCAACTCAGAAAAAATTATTTTGTTTTGGGGTTAAAAACTGTAACCATCTTGCAAACAACGAAAAATTATCCAAAAAAATTATTCGTTCACATCTCCGGGCTTGGGAAAATAATACTTATTTTTAAAAAAAAAAATGCGTCATTGATTTGAACGACACTTACAATGAAGAAACAAGCATGCTCATAAAAACCACACACATTTTATTACAATACGATTTACATACCGTCTGAATTTACGGTGAAATAATGG